ACGATTACCGTTGCTCCTTTATTCAACTATGTGATTCTGCCTCTCTGTGTGGTTGTTCTACAGATGCTATCCGTGGTGCGATGGATGCTCACGTACTCTGTTGTATTGAATGAAGAGATCGACTTGTAATGCCTCGATGAGGCAATCCCGCAAAACCCAGCCCATCTCTAAACCTCAAACTTAGTATCCAACCTTGTTCCGGCTTACGACGCCTGGAGGTCCATTCCCGTAAGAGATTTAAATAGTTTCTATGTACCATGAAGCAATGAGAAACAAAGACCATGAAGAAATAAATTATAAGATATATATATGGAAAAGGAGAGTTTTATCCTTAAATTGAAGATGATTCCCCTCTCTTCTGTTTTACTTACAGCATTGACTATCATACAGTATGTTGGGATGTACATGACGGTAAAGGCGGGGGCTGAAGGCCTCTCTAGCGCGGCAGAGAATTGGAGGGCACCCCAGGTTCCACAATATTCCCTACAGTCTCCCGTGGATTATATAAACACAGTCATATCGTTGGCATCAGCGGGAGCAACGGCATATCAGAGCTATAAGGGCAAGGAAGGTATGAAGTCTGAGATCAAACAGATCGTGGGAGAGGAGATAAAGCAGGTGTATGATAAAATTGATGAGGTGGAGAAAGATTTAAGGGATGAGGGGAATAAAAGGTTTGATGAATTAAAGAAGGATAAAAGAGGTTTGGAGGAAAATATAAGGGATGAAATGGTGAGGAACAACTATTATAGATTGGTCACATCTATTCTGGATATTATGGAGAAAACCCTTCCTGAGAGATATAGAGGTAGGATATTTAAATTTCAAGCCCTCTTAAATACACATCCAGCTAGAAGTAAGGATCTGTTGGGAATATTGGATACCAATGGATTCAGATTAGATAGGGAGGGATTGGAACATTTCCTGGATGTTGTGCTCTGCAATAAGATTTACAGTATAATGGACAGAGACAGGGTGGTGGATGTGAAGGATATGATGAGGCAGCATCTAGAGATAGAGAGGAAGAAACTGTTGGATAGGAAGGAAGATTTTGAGGGGGCCGGGTCGGCTTTCATAACCTTCGCTCCAGTCTTCTCTGCTCCATCGCTCACTTTAATACCTCTGTCAAACCTAAGTATGGGTCGCTGAGTACATGCCAGATCAAGCTTACCCGCCTCTTTAACTTAAACCTTAAGCACAAAACTCCTTCTTTAAGACAGTTAGGTAAGTATTAAGCTAAGAAGGTTAATAGGGACGAAGGTAGTAGTTTTTTCCTCAGTAAATTATTCCTAACACAACCCTTTCTTAAGAGGATGTTCAAGAATCCTTCTAAGGGATGAATGGTTGTATCCTTAAGTTTAAGCTGACAAGAGAATAATAAATAACAGGGGTAAATCCGAGCTTAGTTAAAAACCTCCAAAGGATTCTTACTATCGCCCTAAAATAATGCAGAGACGTACATCATACCTACTAATTAGGTTTTCCTACGACCCAGAAATAATTGAATTCCTCCTACCTCCCTGTGTTCCACTACTTTTACAGCAAAAATCACCTCTAACCTTATACGTGCAAAAGGATATGTTTAAATTTTGAATGAATTCTAAGACCTGCTACAACTAGGGTCTGAATAAACAGGACGGTTAATTCACTAAAGCATATCCAACTGTATTTCCAAAGACTGCACAAGCAAAGAGCAAGCATAGATGGTTGTTTCTGCCCCTTTCCAACCCCCTTTCCAAGCTTGTAAGTAATTCCAGTAACTCTCAAGAAAGAACAAAATAAAACTAGATTTTCCGTCATTCTCTACGAGCCTACAAACAACTCCTTACTTTACACTCTTGTTACTTTAATTTAAACGTTCTTCTCCACCCCCACCAGGACAATTAAAGGTAGAGACAGTATAAACCAGCTTTTGTTTTATCACCTATCCATGTTTAGGAACTCTCTTCCTTCCACTCTGAGGCTATTCTTGTTGCCCCTGGCTATTTTTTCTTTTACCTCAACCATGTCTTTACTCTTCCCTGTTCTTAGAGATTGTTCTTATCTCTTTAACCTGAGTTTTCAACCAACGTGTTAGAGGCAGAATCACATAGTTGAATAAAGGAGCAACGGTAATCGTAAATAGTATATTATTCCTATGATCTTGAGCCATCGGGGGATGGATAATAAAAAAAAGAGAAGAATGAGTTATCCAGTGTAGGTGTAGGAACATTCACTATCTGAGGTATGAGCTTTAACAGGCTCTAGTTAGGGCTACCTGGGGAATAAGGGAATGGAGGTGGTAAGGCAGGGCAGGCAGGCTCTTTAGGGCTCACTAGAAAAAACTGAGAAGAAGGCGAACTGGTACGCAAGCTCACTGTAAATGGGTCGACCCTATGGGTCATGGGGGTTCGAATCCCTCTCTTCTCAAAAACTTGCCGTTCCTATAAAGCTCCAGAACTAGAGTAGAAACAAGCTAAACGGACCTCCAGCCCTTCTGAATCTTATCTTATAGCTGGTCGGAGACCGCTGTGTACCCTGCCCCAGGCGGGTGGTAATATAAATATTAACCTACCCTTGCCTTGGTCCCGTAATGGATTGTTAAGGGTTGAGCCAAGTCAGGGACAACTACCCTTTCCAGGTCAGGAAATAACCCAATGACCCAAGGGTTAATTTTACGATTTTATAGTTATACTTATTAAGGTAAGGAGGGTAGGGAAGGATACATTAATGTCCCGAGCAGGAGTCGAACCTGCGCCTTACGAGCTTCAATCGTATGCTCTACCGTCGAGCCCTCGGGACGCAAAGGCAACCTTGATCACACTACCCCTTCCAGACCCTAGGGGCAGTAGCCGCGATGTAACCGGTTTCCCCGCTGCCCACAACCTATACGTGGCTCCCACGCCCCTAGGAATTCCATCCCCTACCGGACCCTTACCCCGCCTGAGCCGCGTCGGAGCTTCCTCTCCTTACTCCCCTCTCCCCGTACGGAGACACCCTTATAGACCCACCCTGCCAGTCTCCTCTCAGGCTTGAATTTACAAGTTCTGATCTTATTTCCTTGTGGGACCCACCGCCAGGGTCAAGATATGTTTATATTTTGTTTAGTTCGTTCTAGTTCTCCAAAAATGCTCGTAGTGTGGGGAAGGTAGGTATAGAAGTACTACTTGTGGGATTGAAATTTAATCAGTAAAACCAATCAGGGTAATCGCCAGCTGTACTGCGTGGCTTCGATTGGAGCTAGCTGGAACGCCCTAATAACGTAGTTACCCTCATTGTTAGCCACACCTCTAATTCTATTCTCAACTTTAAAATCGCCTCCATTCTTATTCTTCTGTATCTTAATCTACTCGGTGTCAACCCACTTCGTGTCTTACTCTGCCTTGCAGTCTATCTTCTGCTCCCCTCTAGGATTTCATTCTTGAACTGCTTCGTTGCAGTATCTCTCTTTCGCTTCAACTATCCTCTCTTAATCCTGTCCAAGGATTGGGAGGGCGACTCGCGGGAGAAGTTAAATTCTATCCTCCGATTCCCCTGTATTTTTATTAATTTGTCTCTCCTTTATTTGGTTTCACCATTGGGATTCGAATTAAATCCGCACCTCGAAGACTGGCAGGGAATGTCCAACACGTTTCACTTAGGAGGTCTTGCGGGGAGCTTAAACCCACCTTCGCTCCGAGCGGCAGAGGTGCAGGCTACCCGGCCTACCTGCTGGGTTTTTTGCAAGTTGGTGTAACGGTCGCATCTTAGACTCATGTTCTGAAGGAGGCCGTTCGACTCGGCCACTTGCACAAAAAGGTGTTGTCTGGTATAGGACTCCTCCCTCGTCAGAAATTTGGATTCCTGGTCCCAGACTGTAATTCTAGTAAATTCTGTTATAGCCCCTTCCCCCCTCTCAAATATGCATTGAATTAAAATACCCCTATTACTCATAATATCAATTTAATACTATAGGGAAGATAGGATCTACCCGACCCTACCTGTCCCCCCCCCCTGGTCGTCCCTTCCTTATATTTATATTTATTTAATGTAATGTTTAAGCTAAAGTTAGATAGATAGATTGTTAGTTAGATAGTTAATTAAGACCTGGGTAGTCGGCCGTAGGACCGGGGAGAAGTATAAATAAACTCCCTCCAGATATAAGAGGAGAAGAGTGGGTTAGGGACCCAAGGATAAGGAAAGGGAATCCTGGGGACAGGTAAGAGATAATAATATAACCACCCACCAGGGATACTACTATAGTACCTTAACAGGTACAAGATATACCACCTAGGAGGCAAGGATTTGGGCAAGGGACCACTTAGGAGGGCAAGCAAGGAGGCAAGGTTGGGTGGACTAGGCACCAAGGAAGGTAGGATATATTTATATATACACCCCTTGGGGCATGGTACATAGCGGCCTACGTCTCGCTAGACGTTAGGGAAAATTAGGAAGAGTTGGGGCATAATAGCCACCTGACAATCAAGCAGCATTGGTAAGTCTTCCAGATGAGATAGCCATTGCTGGAGAAGCAGCGCCTCCATATAAGGAATAAATAGTGTTTGTAAGAAGGACTTTACAATTAAGCTTTATAGCTAATCAATAAAGGAGTATCAAGCACCACTAGTAATAATTGAGGGTCGTTTTGCCTGTCCTATTATAATTGGAGGGAAGGTGAATAGGAATCAAATACGAATCAAGTATAATAAACGCTATCAGGAGAGGGAGGAATCGAACCCCCAACTATAAGTTTGGAGCTTACCATTTTACCATTAAACTACTCTCCTTATTGGCAGTTGCTTAGCAGTTTGGAGCTTTACACTCTTCAATTGAAGTATACTTAAGATATCTGTGCACAGGCTAGGTAGCCCTAGCTACCCGTCGAAGACGGCCCTGTAAGACCCCTGAATAAAGCCTAACATAGCAATTCCGTCATAGTCGATCCTAGACTCCTTACAGTAAATACAGTCAAACTCGATGGTTCAGACGGAGGATGGAGTCTAGGGCCGAAAACGCCCGCTTCCTAAAGAAAACCTAAAAGAATCACAACAAAAACAAATCCTACAAACAAACCAAACAAACAATTGTTCTTCCCCCTCAAAGAAAAACCACCACTAAACCTTAATAAAACTACTCTTCACATCTTTTCA